ATTTTATACGATGAAAAACATAAAAATGAACTTTTTTCATATTTTCTTCAACACCTCTAATCGAGACTTTTAACAAAAATACTCGATTCTTGGCATGTACGATTTTTTGAGGAATATTATATTTGCCTGCAATACGTATACAAAAACATTTATTGTTGGTTTCCATAGTTTCATCTAAATAAAAATATTGTCAAGTTTTAACACCTAATCTCTTGTTAACGATTGAAAGTGTTCTATCTGACTCAATAATTAAAAAAACAAATGCGTGGTTTATTAATATGGCTGTACAATATACCAATGCAGAATATACCGATATGTTACTGACATTAGGATTGTGTGAAGGAAATGCTCGCGAGAGTGTCAGGGTGTACTCTGAAAGGTTTCCAAATCGTCGTATACCTAGCCTCCCAACTTTTGCTGCTGTTGAGAGACGTCTTCGGGAGACCGGTTCCTTTGCTCCCAACACTGTTGATAATGGAAGAGAACGTTTTGTAAGGATTCCTGAAGTTGAAGAAGACATTTTAGAATTAAGCACCAGGAGAATTGGAAGGGAACTAGGAGTAAGTAAAGATGTCTTTCATAAAGTGCTTGGAGAACAATTGCTATATCCATACCATAAGAAGCCAGTACAAGAATTATTAGTCCATGATCCTCAAATTCGTTTGGGTTTTTGTCGATTTGTTAATATGCAAAGAGAAAGAGATCCAAACTTTGTCAAGAAGGTTCTCTTTACCGATGAAGCGGGTTTTACAAGAATAGGTATAACTAATACCCATAATGAACATGTTTATGCCGTTGAAAATCCGCATGCAATAAAGGTAAACCATTTTCAGCACGAATTCAAAATTAATGTGTGGGCTGGAATAATTGGTAATTTCATTGTTGGTCCTGTCATACTTCCACGAAGATTAGAGATTAGAGAAAATTATTTGGATTTTCTACAAAATACGTTGCCAGAATTGTTAGAAGATTTACCTCTCCAACTTCGGAGAGATATGTGGTTCATGCAAGATGAAGCTCCGCCACATTTTTCTTTAAACGTTAGAAACCACTTGAATAAACAATATCCACACAAATGAATAAAAATTTCATTGAAATCGATTAAAATGTTTTCGAGATATTGAATAAAACTCAGAAAACTTAGAAAATTTCCATTTTACCCTTCCTAATAAAAAAACATTTTTGAAGAGTAAATAAAAGATTCTTAATATTTTTTTTGATTTATTAATTTTTATTAATTCTTATTAATTTTTATTAATTTTTATTAATTTTTATTAATTTTTATTAATTTTTATTAATTTTTATTAATTTTTATTAATTTTTATTAATTTTTATTAATTTTTATTAATTTTTATTAATTTTTATTAATTTTTATTAATTTTTATTAATTTTTATTAATTTTTAATAATTTTTATTAATTTTTGTTTTATAATTATTAATTTTTATTAATTTATATTTGTGTAAATTTTTATTAATTTTTATTAATTTTTATTAATTTTTATTAATTTTTATTAATTTTTATTAATTTTTATTAATTTTTATTAATTTTTATTAATTTTTATTAATTTTTATTAATTTTTATTAATTTTTATTAATTTTTATTAATTTTTATTAATTTTTATTAATTTTTATTAATTTTTATTAATTTTTATTAATTTTTATTAATTTTTATTAATTTTTATTAATTTTTATTAATTTTTATTAATTTTTATTAATTTTTATTAATTTTTATTAATTTTTATTAATTTTTATTAATTTTTATTAATTTTTATTAATTTTTATTAATTTTTATTAATTTTTATTAATTTTTATTAATTTTTATTAATTTTTATTAATTTTTATTAATTTTTATTAATTTTTATTAATTTTTATTAATTTTTATTAATTTTTATTAATTTTTATTAATTTTTATTAATTTTTATTAATTTTTATTAATTTTTATTAATTTTTATTAATTTTTATTAATTTTTATTAATTTTTATTAATTTTTATTAATTTTTATTAATTTTTATTAATTTTTATTAATTTTTATTAATTTTTATTAATTTTTATTAATTTTTATTAATTTTTATTAATTTTTATTAATTTTTATTAATTTTTATTAATTTTTATTAATTTTTATTAATTTTTATTAATTTTTATTAATTTTTATTAATTTTTATTAATTTTTATTAATTTTTATTAATTTTTATTAATTTTTATTAATTTTTATTAATTTTTATTAATTTTTATTAATTTTTATTAATTTTTATTAATTTTTATTAATTTTTATTAATTTTTATTAATTTTTATTAATTTTTATTAATTTTTATTAATTTTTATTAATTTTTATTAATTTTTATTAATTTTTATTAATTTTTATTAATTTTTATTAATTTTTATTAATTTTTATTAATTTTTATTAATTTTTATTAATTTTTATTAATTTTTATTAATTTTTATTAATTTTTCTTAATTTTTTATTAATTAATTTTTATTAATTTTTATTAATTTTTATTAATTTTTATTAATTTTTATTAATTTTTATTAATTTTTATTAATTTTTATTAATTTTTATTAATTTTTATTAATTTTTATTAATTTTTATTAATTTTTATTAATTTTTATTAATTTTTATTAATTTTTATTAATTTTTATTAATTTTTATTAATTTTTATTAATTTTTATTAATTTTTATTAATTTTTATTAATTTTTATTAATTTTTATTAATTTTTATTAATTTTTATTAATTTTTATTAATTTTTATTAATTTTTATTAATTTTTATTAATTTTTATTAATTTTTATTAATTTTTATTAATTTTTATTAATTTTTATTAATTTTTATTAATTTTTATTATGTTTTATAATTATTAATTTTTATTGATTTTTGTTAATTTATATTTGTGTAAATTTTACAATAATAATATCGTTTTCTCAAAATTCAAGAAAATTTTAAAAAATGGCGATCACGGCGTCGACACTTTCGGTCCTGGGCAGGGATTCTTATGTGAGAACTCAACACGTAACGAATATAATAAAGAAAGACATTACATAGGAATCGCATTCTGGGGAAAAAACAGGCGTCTCAACACGTGCCGTATTCGCTCCGTGCGAAGTCATGGAAAGGGAAGCAAAAGCGATACTAGCGCTAGCGGCGGATAATTTGTGCATTTTAGGGCGATATTTTGTAATTTTCGCATATCAAATACACGTATACATTTGACTTTTTTTCAAAAAAGTAGGTAAAAACAACACAATAAGCAACCGGAGTTGCGGTGTTGAAAATTGTACAAATACTAGCAAAAAAAAACAGTGAAACTTATATAAGAAATTTCACTAGCAAAGTGGAAATTAAATCAAAGAAATAAACGACTAGGTGTACAATAAGACGAAAAATTACCTTTATTTTTGTGATAATAACAGTAATGCTGGAAATAGTAGAGATCAGAAACTTGAAAGGTTTTAAATAAACAATAAATTATCATTTTACGATGGTCTTTAATATCCCTTTATTCTTAAATGTTCATTCAGCAAGGACTAGATTTCAAATTTCTGCCTTTGATTATAATATGTGACTGGAATGCAATTTTTTTGACTGATGGAAAACCAGTTTTAATCATTCATTCTAGTTTTTCTTTCGAACAAAAATCAAATTATAAATAACGATCCTTTTTTATACATTTTAACTTCACGCTATTATTAAATGGTATTTTTTATTTTGATAGAATAGGTTAATTCTTCAATGACAACTTATTAGACTTAGGCAACTTCTCATACATTTTCCAGTAAATACTGTTGTCTGCCTATATTTTATTATTGATTTTTATTGAATATACATAATTTTCTTTAATTTAAGCGGGAAAAATATATAATAATAATAAATTAATATTTTACTTGTTTTACAAATCCATATACTTTTATTAAAACAAACATATATACTTTTTATTTACGAATTCTATTAAAAATTGTATTTGTCAGTATAGGCAAAAATAGTCCTTTAATGCCAAAACAAATTGGCGCTGCTGTCGCGCACGGAGCGAATTGCAAGATGAGAATCCTAATGCTTCTAAAATTTAATATGAACGCAGCAAAATTATTAATTCGACATGGAATCATAATTTGTGCACAATTTAAAAAGTACCCAACATTGATTATTAAAATTTGGCAAGAATATTCAAAAAAAATATGTAGAATGCTGTAAAGTTTTTTGAACTGCATCTGTAACTATCATTATTTTATATTTTTAATAGTACCTTTTTAACAATTAGCAGGACAAATGAAATTGTCTGACTGCAATTATTAAACATACTCTAAGCTGCCAAAGATTCACTAAAATATATCCAGTAAAAGATAAGTTCTGTAAATAATTGTAAACCTCTTAAAAATATAATACTTTGGATTATGTCAAATTACCTAAGTAACTTTTTAATTTCGAAAACTGATCCCAGACCAGCACCAGATTTTCTAAAACATTCCCTATTATTTAACTAATGTTCCAGCCTCCAGATCTTATATTAGACGAGATACCAAGTTTATACCGTCAGGATTTCACCAGCTGATAGTATATCGATAATAAAGGTACTTTGAAACGTGCAAAATTGTTTGTTTTAATTTTTTCCTCTAAAAAAAGTAAGATACGAAAACTATGAAACAAAAAGGTTCAATTTTTAGTTAGTTGGTTTAAAAAAATATGAAAAATTCAAAAAATATACTAAGCGATACTTTTTGTGCCGAAAACTAATCAAAGTGCCATGTGCGCACGCCTTTGGAATTACTTACATGTCCAAAAGATGCCTCATAAAGTTATTAACAAACTGAAAATTTCATTAAAATAGGTCATAACCTTTTTTAGTTATTAATAAAAAAATAATAAAAAAAACACCCTGTACTTACATTAAACAGGGAACAAAATTGGACCATAATTTATCTCTTTGGTAAATCCTGATGATATAAACTAGACCACCCTGTATGAGACTCGAATTTCGGACACACTATATAGTTTTTATCATATAACTCACCTTATACAAGTTTCAATGACTACTCCTTGGACATAACCTTCTTCTTTTCCTTGGTTTATAATGATTTTCCAATCATTTCGAGTATTTTTACCGACCTTTGGAAATATTGTTCTAACTCTGGACTTGCAGATGAAAGTGTCTCCGTTTCCATCACGCGTCCCAAACTCTGGAACAATATCCATCCCGAATAACGCTTTGTTCACAGCATGTTCCTTGAGGACATTTTTTAAGTAGTTTTGAGGGTATTCCAAAAAATGTTCACAGAAGGTGCTGCCATCTGCGCAGGTTGGTGGACTTTCCAGTCGGGGAAGTTCTTCGGAAGACATATCATCCTCCGGGAAGAATATATCCGAAAATCTTGGAAACCCTGAGAAAATCAAAAATGTTTAAAAATATAAAGCCATTAGAGAAAATACGAACTAAATAATAGCTAAGTATGTGGGTTTACTAAATTTTAAAATGTCGTAAGCATTTTTTTACAGAGAGTAGGTAATTAAACAATTTCATGCTACCTAATAATAATAATTATTAACAAATGTATATTATACAGGGTGAGAACTGTGGTTGGAGGCCACCAAGATGCTTTCAAGTAATCTATAAATAAACGAATCTTTCCGTATTTTATATCCTAAATCAATTTTGTAAATTTCTCTCTTGACTCTTAACTTACCAACCTCCCTGTATATGTATTTTACATATCCTTTACGTACATATTCTTTACGTATTCTCTATAACAAAATCCACTAAGGCATAACAAGAAACGAAAACCATGTTCGTCTGTACAAAAAATCTGATGTGTCCAACACATGACTTTCCTGTCTAGATATAGGCCTCTTCCGACTATTTTGTACAACCTATTGTATCACCCCTGTAATTCTTAAGGGGACAGTCCTCTAAATAATTTTTTTTTACGAATTTTTTTTTGCTTAAAATGTTCTCTGGGATGTATATTTCATCCCATCTTGGCCGGAAACTTGGTTCGTCAGTTATAAGGCAATATGCAAAGATGTGCACTGGCGCCCTAAGTGCGCTTCCGAGCGCGCTCGAAGGTTACCTCAGTTACCGACAGCTTGAGGACTACACGCACAAACCACCAATGAAGACAGACGTTTTCGATGTCGATGCCATTCGTCCTGTATATGAAGACTTGAGCCGTGACGACTTGGCTGGAGCGATGCCTGGGAGGATACACTCAGAATGCCAACGAAAGCTTCAACGCTTGCATCTGGTCGATTTCTCCAAAAACCATCCACAGCGGGAAAAATATCGTCGATATTGTGGCCAGTGTAGCGGCTTGTACTTTCAACGACTTCCTATCAAGCATTATGGACATAATGAACCAGCTCCAACTCGAGATAGGTCCCAGCTGCTACAACTTCTGCATGAAAGCGGACAAAGAGCGGATCGAGCGCACAGAGCTACGGATGTCAGATGCTGCCAAAGACGCTCGCCGGTCGACCATGGCAGCAAAGGATTGACAATGCCCTCCAAAATAACCTGAAAGGGATGCTGTATGGGCCAGGAATTGCTGACTAGAGGTATGTTGAACGAAATTGCAAAAAATGTAATTCGAAACTTCAAACGCGTTTTTCTCGAAACAGTGTTTTTAAAATCGGTGGTCGCCATAACTTTTTATTGACACATACGATTTTGATTGGACTTTGCGTTTCGCATTCGCAATTTAATTTTCTAGTCCTCTACGTAGCCGTTTTTCGATCCGTTGAAAAGTCTGTGCTCGGTGCAAGTTTTTATACCGATTTTTAGGGTGATAAATCAAACTTTTTTTTAACACGTCGCCATTTTGTTCCATTTTGGTTTTTTCAATTCTCCTACGTAGGCGACTAGATTTACTAATTGACAATAACTTAAAAACATTGACGTTGTTGCAGGACCAATCGGAGGACCCCCCAGGCCGGCCACCGAAAATGGGCGTTTTGAGAACAAGGAGTGCTTTCACCTGGTGCAGCGGTCACGGGAAGCGGCTGATGGCGTTACAAAAAATGGTGCCCGGAAGATTTTTATATTATTAATAAACGGATATACTTAAAGTTGTCATTTCCTTTTGTTTTAGTGTTAAAAAAAAAATCCGAAAAACACCTATTTTTCAGCCATATTTAGAGGACTATCCCTGTTGCTTTCTTTAGTATAACCTACTAAAGTAAAGATCTAATGGTCTAGAAACTGCTTCAAAATGTTTTATTGAAGATATATTACAAAATATATTTAACTTTGACAAAGATATCATAAAAATTAATCTTGACGTTCTTTTCAAAAATTACGGTAACTATTATAAAATCATTAAATCAAAATATCAAAGAATACCGCTTCATAGGCGTATCAATTGAATATGTGCAGGAAACCTCTTCAATCCCCGTTGTGCCTACCGATAGGCAGAAAAACACCAAATTTTAAACTTAAGCTTTCTTCCAGCGTCCAATGAACTGATTAGATTTTGGGCAGAGTCGGAACATCTGGGGGGGTACTTTATAGGTGGTCATTTTTATATTTTATGGAATTTATCTGTTATTTACGTTTGGGGAAGAAAATTTTTTAAATAAATTAAATAAAAGTTACTTCTTATATTATTATCATCTATAATTTTTGTTCTCTACAAAATTTTCCTAAAATGGTCCGTATTCGAGAAATTTGACAAATTGTAAAAAAATATATTTTTTATAAAAATTGTTCAAATAAAAATTATTTGTAATATAATTCTCTATAATTTTTATTCTATACATAATTTCTATAAAATAAACCGTATTCGAGATATTTGAGAAAATGTGTAAATTTAGAAATTTGAAGAAAACTCAAAAACGGATAAAGAAAAAACATTAAATTTTAAACTTAAGTTTTATTTCGGCCTGACGTGAAATGATTGGATTTTGGACAAAGTCGGAACATCTGAGGGGATACTTTATGGGAGGCCGTTTTTATATTTTATGGAATATATCTGTTATTTATGTTTGGAGAAAAAAATTGTTCAAATAAAAGTTACTTCTAATATTATTATCTATAATTTTTGTCTTATGTCAAAATTTCCTGAAATGGTCCGTATTCGAGAAATTTGACAAAATGTGCAAAATTCTGATTTTTATGAAAATTGTTGAACTAAAAGTTGTTTGCGATATCGATCTCTATAATTTTTGTTTTAACACGATTTTTCTAAAATGGACCGTAATAGAAAAATTGTAGGAAAAGTGCTAAATTTAAATTTTTCAGTATTTTCGTTTTCAATGAATATCTATAGAAAAATGTTTCGAGGTAGATGTATGTGGACAATGTATATATTAAGTTTATCCTCTAAACATTTATAGAGACGCTGCAATAGGTTGTACAAAATAACCGGAAAAAGCCTATAGTAACTAGATAGGAAAGTCATGTGTTGGACACATCAGATTTTTTACCTATTCGCTCAGTGCAAAGTCCTTAAGTTCATGTTCAAAATATTTCTGTCTTTGATTCTGATTATTGTCTGTGTCTGGAATGCAATTTTGTAACTGACTGATTCAGTGACGGATTTAGGCTTGCTGCCGCCCTAGGCCCCGTTCGATACGCCGCCCTTTTTGATAAAATTGAATTTCATTAATTTTTATCCAATATTTTTATTTTAAGCGTTTTTGTTTTCTGTAAACATGTGAAATACACACCCGAACTACTTATAAGTCTCAATAATGCACAATACTCCCGCTTCACTGAAGTTATTGAAATTACGATCACATAAATAAAACACTCAGATAATAAATAAAATTCTTAAAACTTTTTATTTATATTTATAATAACCACATAAATGTAACCATATCCAGGGCCGACTAGAGGGGGGTAGCCAATTCCCGGCAGCGGTATAAAGAGGGCCCGGCAGCGGTGGTGTTTGTTTCTTTCAGAAATTTGACACAAGAGGATAGAAGTCATTTTTTTTTGAGGAGAATTCAAGTGGAGGAGGAGATAAATTTTTGCTTGAGGACCTTTTTTTTTAGAGAAATTCAAGTAGAGGAGAAGAGAAATTTTTGCGTGCGTAAAGAAGGAGGACAAATTTTTGTTTGATGACCTTTTGTTATTTAATGTTTTATAAAATTGTCGCGGGGCCCGATGTGGAGAATTGTCCTGGGGCCCGGTCTGGCTCTCGGCGGCCCTGACCATATCATAGGTCGACCGCTTTAATATACTTACATCAGCTCACATACTTTAATTTAAAAAATTTCGAAATTCTTGCACTTGGATTTTCAGAAATTATTGAAATTTGTAGATGTAATTGAAGATTTTGCAAAGATGAGAAATATCGAATTAATTTTTTTTTATTTTAGTTATTTTGGTGATTTAAAAAATTGAATATGGAAAAAAACAGGATTTATTTTTCATAAAAAATTATTTTTATAAACAAAAAATGTTCTGACACTTTTAAATGAATATCATAACGATATTCAATACCCCTGACTAAAAAAAAATATTGAGACAAAGAAAAGTATTGAAAAGTATTGGATTGAATAGAAAACCAATACTTTTTTCTTTATGTTAATACTTTTTTTTTAATAAGGTAAATGCAAATCTTCGGTATTTTTATTACACACTATAAACAAATAGAGAAGTCATTCGGATTTAATAATTTCAAAATGTTTCATACACGTAAGATTAATCTCACTAAAGGAACAAAAAGTAAAGAATATTACTCGATAAAGACTATAGTTGATCGATTAAAAAGTTAATATGTTACCCATACAGATTGAGAAGTAAATTAATGAATTGAATTATAATATTTTCTATCGAAAATTTTTTATAAAAACTAATCTGAACCAATTTTTGAAATTGATTGTCTTTACTTTTTTGTGCCTCTAAAATTTTGGCATTTCATAAATTTTGCCGCCCTTCAAATTATGCCGCCCTAGGCCCGGGCCTCACGGGCCTAGGCGTAAATCCATCACTGGACTGATTGGAAAACAGTTATTTAATAATTAATTATGTTTTCTTTCGAACTAAAAATGAAAAAAACAAGTATAAATTACATTCGAAAATATTACAATAGAATATTACAACTATTTTTTTTAGGATTAAATTTTAAATACACGTTTGACATTAACCTTCAACTTCATTAGGGAACTTTTCATACACTTTCTCGTAAATACTGTTGCCTAATTACCTGTTCTGTGCACATGTTTTAATAATTTTTTGTTTAAATATACCTATTTTTCTTCTGCTGAAGTAATAAAAATAAATGAATCTTTTTACTTGTTTTATAAATTAATATACTTTTATTAAAAGCAAAAAATACATTGTTTTAATTAGGAACTCTATTAAAAATGATACTGTCAATACACGAAAAATCCCCCATTAGTACATATTTTAGTTGGCGCTGTCGTCACACATGGAGCGAAT